GAGGGGAGAGGAAGTGTTACTGCCTTGAAAACTCTCAAGAAAGACGGTATTTACATGGCATACCATAGCTTGCCCCTTTCCCTGGGGGGAGGGAACCCGGGAGAGAATGAAAACACAGAAACAATAGAGACTCTACTTCCTCAGGAAAACAGAGAAAGGGAGCAACGAAGAAGACAGAGTGTTAAAGCTTAGAGACTTCATTTTACCCAAAGAAATCTTAACCGAAGTGTAGCCACTGGAGTTTAAGCAAATGCCTGCTTTTACAGACTTGGGGGTATGGGTTCCCATTTATGGGTTAAAGACTTAAGGAAAACAAAACAAAAAGGAATGGAATAGCAGTTAGAGAAAAGACAAAGAAAGTGAGTGCCTACCCCCCTATAGATTGTGGTCCATCTTTGTCATCCACAGAAGCTTCTTTAACCTTCTTAGGTGGGCAACCTACCAGCGTGGGTGAGGCTAGTACAACCAGCTAAAAAAGAATATAGCAAAACACAGACACAGAGAAACGTCATTGGGCCATTACGATGACTTGATGAGTAACAGGTATTTGAGACCAAGCCTGATAATTCAAGTTCAATTTCCTAAACCCACATGCTGGAGATAAGTGACTCCTGAAAGTTGTCCTCTGACATGTAACATATATGGGCACTCACACATGAATGGAAACAGAGATAGAAAGAAAGAAGCAAACACACGGTCAGAGACAAACAGAAAGAAATTATTGAAGTATGCTATCTAAAGGCAGTAGGCAAATTCCTAGAGGGGCTATCATGACTTAGGAGTGTTGGAAGTCTTTTGCAGTAGTTGAATAGGAAGTTACTTACTTCTTATTTTGTTGGCCATTTGCTCAGGGTCAATATTTGAATAGATGGCTTCGCATCTTACTTTCTCCTTGAGCAGTAAAGTTTATAGCCTAAGTTGTTTTTCTTGAGACTGGCCATTTGTACAAGGGCTATAGCTCATTAGAAGTCATGCTACAGAGGAATGCATAATATATCCTAAGTCACCATGGTCTGAGCACCAAATAGTCTGGCCTACTAGTTAAAGTCTTGGGATTTTATTAATAATTTATCATGTTTTATCTTTACACAAATTACATGACCATGTAAGGAAACACATTAAAAAGCACCCAGTAAGGTTCTGTTTAAGCACGTAGCAATATAATGAGGGATGAGCCTTAAGGAACACAAAGGAGTCAGAGCCTCCAGAAGTGGTGATGCTGATTAATGGGGACTAGCATGAGTAGAGAGGAGGCATCAAATGCTTGTAAAGAAGAATAGCTAAGAAAGCAGCAGAGAAAGCTAAATAGGAAACAGGCTTTGGGCATTTCACTCCATAACCTTAGATTGAAAATGTTACATCGAGGTCCAGTGTGTGACCTAAGAAGGGGCATCTGGAATGGAGGACGTTGATTTTGAAGACGAACAGGTCAAGTACATGACAACTGGGTATTTGGTGGGTCACAGTCTTGGGTGTTGACATCAGTCAGGGATGCAGAGACCCCTGAGATCATGATGAAAACCATAACTCTATGCCAGAGGCTTTGATGTATGCGAGAGAGTGACCAAGGGGTCAGGGATAATTGAGAACTTACCTTGGTTGCTATGGTTCTGTAAGAATTTGTCTAATTTCATCTGTGGGGAATTATGTCTTCTAAAGGTGAGCGTTAATACAGATGGCCATTGAAATTGAATTTGATGACAGTATTTATTAGATATCCATACCCCTATAATTTTATCCTTTGAGTAATTACTAAATACACCTTGAAGTTAGAGAAGAATGTCTTGAGAAGAGAATAAGCAGAGAAAAATAAAGCAAGTCTATGAGGGGCACCTGAGGCCACGGGAAGAGCAGCACAGACAAACGTGCTTATGCCACTGTTTAGCTGTTTAGACTCAGAGAAAGGCAGTGCCATAGCCAGCAGGCCATGAGCAAGACAGGTTGTGGTTTTGTGCAGGAGTGCACTGAGGAAAGTGTGGCTACAGATGCCAGTGTTCCACTCAGGGAAAGGAGGACTGAACAAGACCCCTGGGTAACTCCATGTTGGCAAATCCACAGCCTACTTCTGTTTATAAGTCCCATGTACTCACCCTGCTTTTTTTTTTTTTAAAAAAAAATATCCCTTTACTTTCCCTGTATAGTCCATTAGTCCCTTGACTTTGGCTGTTTACTTCTAAGGATAATGTTTCTTCAATGGCTATTTTGAGTGTCTATCCCCCAAACTTCTCTCATTTCCTGCCTAGTCCGTTCATCTGTGTTTTCCCACCCTACTCTATTAATTTTGCTGTTTTGTGGCTACCTATTTACTCATTTATTTCCTTCCTTAGACTTTGGACTTTTATTGGACAGGATCGTGTAAAAAGTATCTAGAAAACAACTCATTTTTGGTTCAAGGATAGTTTGTTTAATAGACTATTTTTTAATTAGCAACTTCTTTTATTTTAATTTTAAAAGTCTTATTTTACAAAGCATTCATTTAAAGAAAATAAACTTTAAATGTTACATAGGGATTTACAAGTACTTGAAACAGGGTGGTATTTTTCATATTACAGAGGTTTCCACTTTTTATAAATTAAAAAACATGGATCTTGGTCCTGTGTCATTGGCCCCAATCTTCCTAATGAAATTTCTAGCAATGCCTGCAGGAAGCCTAATCAGAAAAGCAATATTTGTTTTCAAATGCTTGCAAACGAGGGCACTGCCGTTGTTGATCATCTTTCCCACCAATTCTCTGAAGGCTACCAAGATCATGATGTCAGCCTAAACACTGCCGTGTGTATTTGCCACCAGAGGAGTTCTCCACATAGCAACACCTCTCTTTCTTTGCCAAGTCAGAAAATGCACAAGAGACCCTGAATAGAATGCATCCAACACACAATCCAGCAATTGATGCTGAAACTGGCCGAGGTAGAATGTAGGAATAGAAGGCATCTCACAGACAATGTAGTGGTCAATGCTGAAACTGGCTAAGGTTGACTGTAGGAAGGAAGCTAGATGTAAGAACTTGGGAATGACAAGCATTTTATTGACATATCTAAAAAAAAATTAAGAAGAATTGGTCAGACAAAAGAGGCCACAAAAGAATGTGATGTGGGATTCCCCTTTGTATGCTGTGAATATGATTGGTTAATTAATAAAGAAAACTGCCTTGACCTGATAGAGCAAAAGAATAGAGGTAAGCAGGGAAAATAAACTGAATGCTGGGAGAAAGGAGGTAGAATCAGAGAGAAGCCATGGAGCTCCAGGAGACAGATGGTGAAACTTTAGCCACTAAGCCACACCTATGTGGCAATGCACAGATTAATAGAAATGGGTTAAATTAATATGTAAGAGTTAGCCAATAAGAAGCAAGAGCTAATGGGCCAAGCAGTGATTTAATTAATACAGTTTTTTATCATTATTTTGGGGCTGGGAACCAAAAAGTGGCCTCCTGCTACAAGAAGTTCCCTTAGAAAGTTCAGAAGGAGAAACTGATGGTAATGGGATTCAGAAAAGACAGTAGCTTTGAAATGAGCACTGATGGTTACAGAGTATCTTTAAAGTACTCTGGGGACAGTGATGATTGTGAAACTTTATAAACAGTAACAACCACTCAATTGTGTACTTGCAGATAATTTTTAAACACTAAAAAACAGAGAAAAATGAGAGATAAGGCCATGGAAATCCAGAAAGTTAGAGCTAATAGGAAAGAAATTGATACTTGGTGATTAAGGAACCAGTATAGTACTTAAAAAGCATTTCAATAATATTTAGTCCATTCTGTCTCCTCCTCAACAGCATCAGAGAAATTTGAGTTTGCAGGTTAATCCTTCTACTTCTGTTGGACAATGCAATGATTCTGGTGGTCTAGGGATATGTTCAGGTCGCATTAGCTAAACAATCATAGTGGTGTGTGTTTGACGTACCAAACGTGTGTGTTCATGCTGAGATGACACATAACTCTGTGACTTCTGCTGCTGTGATAAAATCAAACCAAACCAGAAGGTCAGTTTAGTTGATGTGATTTTCATCCCAGACATTATCTGTAGTGCTAGAATCACCAAGTAGAGCTGGAATCACCATCATTGACTACTGATAATAGATTTCTGTCGTATGTATAGTTATTTGGCATGTTATCTTCCTTACTTTGTGGCAGTTCCCTGATAGAACATTGAACTAATAATTCCCACACCAACCACGTTTTCTCTGAGCCACATTTACTGGGATTTAAAGCTGAAGAGGCATAGCAAACACAAAACAAACTCAATGTTTTTCGAGGTTGCTTTTTTGTTTGTGTTCTTGCCTCACGATACTTCACCTGGGCGTTACTTTCTTTTTTCTTTTTTTTTTTTTTCCCTTTATAGTACAGGTCGTTCATTTATATATTAAGGTGTCTATTTTTGTACTTTGTGGGATTTCTTTGGTTACCAATGTGTGTCTCCGTGTCCATATGTTTCTTGCGGCTTTTTTTTTTTTTTTAATTTGACTCTCTGTTTTTCTCTTCATTTGTTTTTTTTTTCCTATTCAGGTTTATTTTTATATTGTCTTATTTTATTAGATATTCTTTTTAGATGCCTGCTTGTTTCCAAATGGGAGAAAGAGAGCAAGAAGGATGTGGAATTGAGTGGGTGGTGTGGATCTGGGGGGGGGGGATGTAATTACTATATGTTGTAAAAAAAAAGTCTATTTTCAATTACAAAAGAAACTGAGGCAAAGAGTAAACTTTGATCTGAGCACTACTGAGGAGAATAAATTATATTATAAGCTATTAAGTATATGTGAATGCTGTTGGTATTTTTATTAAATCCTTCTTTTTTTTGGAACTGGTACAGAGCTAGTCTTATACCATGTTATTGATTGAAGGTTTCATATCCTTGTAAAATTTATCACCACTGGCCTTATTTTCCTTGCTTGTTGAATGGAATACTATGTAAAATAAGATCAATACAATCTTAGGCCTTAGTTGACTTCTGTATCCCTTCCATGCTTTATTTATCTGCTTCCTTATGTTCTTTCTTTAGGTTTTCCAAATGAGCCTGCTGCAATCATTGCCCTAGACACGATTAAGGAATGGCTGGCCAAGAATCACCAGGAGGTAAGAGAACCAACATATGAAACATTTCCGACAATGTGATTTGATCCTATGTTAAAAGCCAGTGGATGAACTGCATTAGTATCAATCAAACCTGGTCCTTATGTCAGTGCCATCAGACTTTTCTTCATTGTGGGTACCATAGGATTAAATATTTTCATCGAATCATTTGGCTGAGGTAGATATAACGACACGTTTGGTGGAGAAGATGAGCTGGGAGAGCAGACTCCTTGCCCCTTCTTCTTCTTCTTCTTCTTCTTCTTCGTCTTCGTCTTCGTCTTCGTCTTCGTCTTCTTCTTCTTCTTCTTCTTCTTCTTCTTCTTCTTCTTCTTCTTCTTCTTCTTCTTCTTCTTCTTCTTCTTCTTCTTCTTCTTCTTCTTCTTCTTCTTCTTCTTCTTCTTCTTCTTCTTCTTCTTCTTCTTCTTCTTCTCTTTGCGTCTTCCAGGCAGTATGGTGTGTGTGAGCAGGAGTTTGGAATGGATTTCCTGAATGATTCTTCATTCTTCCTGTGCTGTTTCCCTTAGACAGCCTGCTTTGTCTTTGTTGTCAGGGGACTGTGCCGTAAAGCAATGTCTGTTAACAGGCTCCATATTTTCCTGATATGACTGCTAGGTATGCGACTGCAATAAGACTACATCATTGTTAACTAGGCTGTTGTGGCCAGAATTTTTTTTTCCTTTTTTTATTGTGAAATGAAATGCTTTCATCTCATCTCTATTTCTACTCGTTTAGTAAAGTCTATGAACTATGCTGGGTCATGCCGAGTGATACGCAAGAGAATTACTCATTTAAATAAAGCAGCAATACAGCTGAAACAGGAAGTCATACACTCCAGGAGTTTGTCCATTGACTCTCAGAACAGAAAGAGGGTTTCGGGCAAGGTCTTGTGTGCTTTCCTCTGTTGTTCCAATTTTCCTCACTAGAGGAATTAATTAATTAAATAATTAATTTTTTCTTTCATTCGTGATTGTGAATTTAGCTTTCTCTCTGGGAAGGAGACAGCCTATTTGGAAATGGCTGAGTATGGAAATGGACTGTGAACGTTTCCTATTGAGAACCAGCTTTGTTCTTGTGCATATGTAAAGAAACAGTGGTGTCATCTAATTATTGCAATTTCAACATTCCATAGCCAGATATAAATATCCTCAACCTCTAGTTGATGTAAAAATTGTATGGCCAGATATGTATAGTCTGCAGTCTATTCCCCCCTTTCCACAAGTGTGAAACGTGTGTGAACTATGACTTCAATTTCGATGATACTTACCTCAGCAAGGAAAAGTAAAACAAGAGAATAATACATTCAGCTTTTAAACATGTCTTATCTCTACCACAGCCGTTTGGGGGGATTTGGGGGTAGTTACTGCCACGATCTCCCTTTTCTAGCAATAAAAAGTTAGATAAGATACTCAAGTGCCGGAAGTCACAGGGACTGGTCTCTCTTCTCAGGTCTCACAGCCATTCCTCACTTCAATATCATTGACACCAGAGAAAGAAGTTGAGTTCCTTTGAACTCACTTATCACCCACATATGTCTTTGTCACAGAAAATATTCCTAACAATGATGCTTTATAATTTGCAGAAAAAAAAACATAACATGCCCTCTTACCTTTCTTTCTGTTGAATGATAACTCTAGAATATAGACTGAAGAAAGTTCATATTTGTCATCTTGACCTATGATTACAAATGCCATAAGCACCTCCCATTGGGAACCTGATGATGAAGAGTAAAACATACTACTGATGTATACAGCTCATTGACAAATTATAGTGACATATTAATCCAAGGTAGACTGTTTAAAGAGTTACTTTCTAAAAAAAAAATTCTTAGTGTCTCATACCAACTTGTCTTGCCTAGTCTCTCTTTGAGTCTATTGTAGTTGGACTTTCTTGACCCAATAGCCCACAAATAATGACATGGAGAATTCTTATTAATTGTGAAAGCTTGGCCTTAGCTTAGTATTGTTCCCAACTAACTCTTATAACTCAAATTAACCTGTTTTTATTGATCTATATTATGCCATGTGGCTTTTATGTCTATCCCATTCTGTATGTTAAATTTCTTCCATGTTTCACTGGTGTCTTTCTGCCCCTCTTCTTCTCAGAGTTCTCTCTCTCCCCAGAAGTCCTTCCTATTTTCTCCTGCCTAGCTATTGGCCATTCAGTTTTTTATTAAACCAGTCAGAAAGCACCTTTGGCAGAGACACTTGTCTACAGTGTATGAAAAGATTATCCCACAAATGCCTACCTTTTGATTTCATGTCCTATCCTTGTATACATTTTAGGCATTATAAAAAATTTAGGACATTTTGATTGTTTAACACCTTAGTTAGGGCACTCTTAAATATATCTTGTGCTGGTTAATTTTTAAGACTTCTTTGTTTAAATATAAACTAAAGAGTGTCCTCTAATTAATTTGGATACATTAGATTTTACTGAATAAATAAATAATAAGTAGACCTTTGCATATATGTGACAATTGTGTAGCTTGGTATTCTTATGGTACTCCTAAACAGTGGCAACAAGGGCTGTTTCTGACTTCTTTGCTGGCTTTTGGAACCATATTCTTCATACCGGTCTACCTTGTCCAGCCTTAATACAAGGCAAGCAGCTTAGTTTTATTTCAACTTGATTTGCCGTGTTTTGTTGATATCCATGGGAGGCCTCCCTTCCCAGTTCCTCAATAGGAAGGAGAAGTGGATGGGGGTGGGGCATTTCTAGAGGGGAGGTAGTGGAAAGGGACTGGAAAGAGAGGAGGGTGGAGAAACTGCAGTAGGAATGTAAAATAAATAAATATTTAGAAAATAAATCATAAGTGGTGATAGATAAATGCTATGCAAACTGATTATTTAATACTATTTTGATTTAGGGTTTGCTCTACTTAACCAAACAAACTAGGCTAAAGATCTGTGAATGAACATTGCTACGGATTCACTTGTCTTTTGTTGCAGTGTTGTTTTGACATCTTGATTGTTTCAGTGAGTATTTCATTAATTCATTCACTTGATAAATATTTACTGAAATCCACTAAAGCAACATGCACATTTCTTCCAGGGACAAAGCACTTAAACAAATAATCCCTGTCCTTTGATATTCAATAGTCTGTGAAAGAGAGAAACAAATTAAGTAAATAAAGAAAGAAGACAGTCCAAAGAATTCTTTACACAATCAAGCTTCATAACTACAAATGGGTTATGAGGTAATGTGGTTTCAGAAGCCTCCGAGACTGTTCTGAGGCTAGAATCTTGGAAGAAAGATTTTTATAATGATAAAGAATGATCTAAGTTACACAGAGCTCTTGAGGTAAAATGTTCCACAAGGAAGGAACAAGAAGACAAAAGCAGAGTGAGGCAAGAGCGAGCTGCTGCCAAGGGGTAAGGGATATGATGATTGCTGATGGAGGAATGGCAAGAGACACATTTGGAGACCAGCAGAAGTTGAATAATAGGCACTGTGGTTAACAGAGAGGCTTTCCCATACTCCTAGTTTAGTGTTCCTGCAGAGTTTGGGTAAGGAAGTAACATGATATTTAAGCAGTAAATGTTACTGCTTTTTGGAAACTGTCCTTTAGAAATATCAGAGAAGGATGGGTGCGGAGGTCAACCAAGACCTTGCAGCAAATCCAGGTAAAACATGGGGAGTTATGGATGGCAATGATAGTATAAAAGGAAGTAGCAAGGATGGGTTTTAACACTTTAAAGGTTTTGAAAGTTGTTTTTACTGGGTTGCCTAGCTTATTCCACAATTAAAAACATCCCCCAGTTTTAGTGTTATAAAGTAGGAATGTTTATTTGTTGTTCACATTATTTGACTGTCTTGAGTGTCAGAGGACACTCAGGAACCCAGGCTGACAGAAATGTCACCTCAACATAGAAAACACAGAAGAAAAAAAAAAGAAATTCTACATATAATTTTGCCTCATATTTTATTCCAGTGAAAGGTATCCGATAGCTAAGGAATAATAAATAAAGTTCTTACATAATAGGAAGAGCCGAATATCAGCAAAAATGGTGATGTCTATTGTAAAGGTGGCTTCAATATAGTGTCCAATATAGAACTGGACAAATCCAGAAGAGTCAAGAACTAAATATTTGGCCTATGCTCCCAAGTCAACTTTTCATATGCTCACTGAGATGAAGAGAAATGTTATAAGGCATATTTAAATGAAAGTATAAAGAAAGAATGATATTGCAGATAATCAAGTATAAGCTTATTTTAGATATCCAACCAATTCTTCGATATAAAGGCCGTTTATTCATGTCCACAGCTCAATATAAAACCAAGAGAGGCAAAGTGAAAGAGCAACATAGTGTCAGTCTGATAGCATGAAAGGAACACGCCAGTTTAGGCAGAAGAGAATTGCCACAGAAATGAATTGTAGTACATGAAAAGGAAGTCTTAGCCATTCAACACCAGGCCTGGATCAGGTTTGTTAGGTGACCAGAATCTCAAACTACACACACACATTTAAAAAACATGGCAGTCCTTGTTGTCCTCATTCTGATAGTTCCCCAATTACTGTTACTTCATGATCATATTACCGTCATTATTGTCATTCACCTAGGTTGTCACATGGCTCCATCATTACTCTATCTGTCCACTCACAGGCCAGTCAGTCAGCTTTGGATGAAGGAAGGCCAGCCTTGTGCTTAATGTTAAGGGAACATGCACTGGGACCTTTAGTTGATCAAATCCATAAATCCATAACATTTTTCCTTAAAAAGGGGAATATGGATAATACGATCTCCCATCAGTGGCCTCTCGTCCTTTCTTCAGATGAGCATATCATCCAGGGGTAACTTCTCTTAAGGCTCATCTGTCACACAGTAAATGACTGATGTCACATGATTGGTGAGCTTTCACAGCTTACTAACCCTCTTCTTTATGAATCTTTAGGGTAGATATGCTTCTTTTCTGAACACAACAGTTAGCTGGATTCTATGTAATTTCACAAGCCGTTAGCAGCTGCCACGGAAAAGCATTTCCATACAATGAGGGTCCCAACT